ATTATATAGTTGCTCAACCAATGTATCATTTTCCCATCTTATTAGATAACTTGTTGGATTACAATAGCTCAACTAATCAATTTACCAATTTTATTTACACTCACAACTTGACATTTGACGGTAATTTCAACCAACCAAATTACACTTTATGCATTTCGGAGTTGGGACTAGAGGTGTCAAACGGGCCGTGCCGTGCCGGCCCATCCCATTTAAACTCGTGCTTTTAACATTTTCGTGTCGGGCCGGGCCGGCCCATTTAATTTATCGGGCCGTGCCGTGCCGGCCCATTTAGTAAAATTATTGATCCCGGCCCGGCCCAAAGCCCATGTCCATATTGAAACGGGCCGGGCCGGGCTCGTGCCGTGCCCGTGCTCGTGCTCGTGCCACACTCGGGCCCAAGAACCAATCCATTTAATTTGAATTTTTTTCACTTCATTTTTTTTTTCACTAGATAATTCAAATTATAAACATTAAAAATATAATTAGAGGCAAGAAATGATGAACTATTTGAAAACATTAATCAATCAAACATCCAAACAATATGAAAATGGCAGAGGGCAAAAAGTGTCAAACTCTACAAAGTCCACTTCAACTTTTCATCTTTAAACAACTTATTATTTTATATGTGAAATAATGTCTTGCTTTGATTATAAGATAAGCATATATGTCATATGTACTGATTAGATATCAAGTCCAATATTGTTTAATTAATTTGTAGTTGATATGTTTAATTAATTAAGGACCCAAGTAATTTCCCTAAAATGAAATACATCAAATATATATTTATGATTAAAAAAACATATAAATAATGACATTAGATGTCAAATTATTGCATTTTGACTTTTGAGAAAGAAAAAAATGTTAAGTGGGCCGTGCTTGGGCCGTGCTTGGGCTCGTGCTTGGGCTTGTGCCGTGCTTGAAGCGTGCTCGGGCCAAGCCCAGCCCATGTCGGGCCGTGGGGGGGCCCGGGGCGGCGGGCGCGCTTTTTTGTGCTCTTGTTGGATTACAATAGCTCAACTAATCAATCTACTAATTTTATTTACACTCACAAATTGACATTTGACGGTAACTTCAACGAACCAAATTACACTTTATGCATTTTGGAGCTGGGACTTGCTCATCTTCTATGTATTAGACTTTTCGGCTCTTGTAATCTCTATTTGTTTCCTCCCTATAGCTTTGGAGCATGAATGAACTGTGATTGACAGAAAAAAAAAACAAAACAAAATTTCTCAGCGGCGAGCAAGTGAACCTTAACAACCTCGTCGCCCCCATTACTATTAGTTGCTAAACATCCAAGGGAAACTCAAGTCCCCAGAGCAGCGCAAAAATCCATAAACATAAATTCATACATATTAGAAGTCATTGAATTATCGTATAATCAACACAAGAGTTGTAATAAAGGAACAAGGAAAAAAAAGAAAAAACCTTAATCATAAAAGAGAATAAGAAATGAAACATTAGCTAGAAAAAACCTTAATCCAAAGCTAGATTAATCTAAAAGTTGGTACCACCCAAATTGGGGGCCACTGGGCCATCTTGATCATCGTCTTCGTAAGTGTGCTGTAAGGTGCTAAAAAGCATTGGTTTTCGACGTCGTACGCACCAAAATCAACTCCATGTTCCAACTCACGATTATTGAAGGCTCTATCAGTAAAATAATTGAAGTATATAAAATTTGGTTGATATCCTGGAAAATTTGACGCCGGCACAGCTAAGGAAGAGTTATCACCCACAAAAATAGCGATATCACCCAATGTTTTCTTCTCAATCCACTTATGCTCATCGAAATTCAATTCGAAAATTTTGACTTGCTTCGTGACATACATATCATCTTCGTCTAGCTCTGAAAGTCTGTGAACCATCAATAGTTCTTTATCATTCAAAGCCACAAGATATTGCAACATGAACGGTGTTCGCTTAATACCTTGTATACCTTGTGCAACATATTTTATATCTGAATAGGATTGAGTAGTAATATCAAAAGTAAAAATTCTGCTCCATACGTCAACAACATAAAATTTGTTTTCAATGCAAACAACTTCGCGTGTTCCCGTCACCTCCTTATCAAGATAAGTCCATGTTGTATCTTTAGAGAGTCGGAGAAAAGCCATATTAGAATAATGCCCAAATATCACCACAACAACGCACTCGTTTGCATTTAATATTGGGTCTGCTGTTAGTGTAGCCTTGTGGACATAATACTCATAATTTTTAGTCCAGAATTTCAATGCACCACCCTTATCATCTGGAGGCCTGATTAATGGAGGAAGGCGAATGATTGAATTTTCTTTTTCTTCCTTCCCTTTAGTTCTAGACAATGGGTCTAGTAGGGTTACTGCAAAGTTTTCTTCCACGATAATTACCCATCCTTTTGAAGACCCACAAAAGCGCTTATTTGACCAGTTAAATTGCAAATCCAAAACTTTTTCATCCATGAGGTTGCATAAGTTCCATGTACCTTCTTGGTCAGTAGAAACCATAAGCATTGGAGGTTGGTCACGACCTAACAGCTTAGCACGATGACTTTGATTATGTTTTGCTACAGAGTGCCATGACATACACATAATACTGAATCGCGCAAAGTCTAATTGCGCCACTAATCTATCTACAACTAAATCTAAAAGATGTTGAGGTAATCCAGCCCAATCTGAAAGACAAAATAAATATTTGTGAGTAAAAGAACATAAGAAGGAAAACATGTTTTGAAATCAAGAACGAGTTATAAATTATATACTTTGATTCATGGAAAATTAGAGGATATTATATATGATAATAACTTGCAAAATAAAATAGGATTTGTATAGAAAAGTTTCATTGAAGAGAACATGCCTGAATCCATGATTTTCTAACCGAGAAGAAGACTGCCCTGCCCTGAATCATATATGAATCAACGAGATGATCACCCCTTATATACAAGTAATTCCACTCCCTTTCCCTAATAGAATATGATTTTTTTTATTTATTAAAAAAGAAAAAGAAAAAGGAAACAAGAGAATAAATTAGGAAAGTAATTAGACGAAGAACACGTTCTACAAGTCCCTGATAGAATAGGATTTTTTTTATATTTATATATAATAATAAAAAATTATAAAATAAAAAAAAGGAAACAAGAGAATAAATTAGGAAAGCAATTAGACGAAGAACACGTTCTACAAGTTATTTCCTTTTATATTTAATTAGGAAACATACCCCTGCATTAAAAATTCGATATATTATTACTAGTGTTAAGGCCCAAAAATTCAGGATTTGGCCCAAATAAATTCTCGGCCCAACATAATGCCTTATTAAGAAAAAGACCCGGTTCGGAGCACGCGAAATTCATCATGCATGATTGCACGAGCCACGACCATGTGCCATGCCAAATAAATGTGCCATCTCTCATGCTAAGAGTTGAAATAAGCACTGGCTTTACAAGCCCATGCTAGTTATCTCGTCAAGCATCATGATTGAAAAACATGTCAAGCGACATGCCATGCCAAGCGGGAAATCATTATTTCACACACAACCACGCTATAAGCCTAAGTGGGCCCAAGCCACTCAAATGCCCGGGGCTTACTGAGAAGGTTGTGGCATGAAGGGGAACGAGTAATCACAGGGCCCATTGAGGGTTCAAGGAACGCAAGTTTTGAGCCACTTGTGGGTTTTAAAACTCAAGCCCGTTCCTAGAACCCAAACACATGGGTTAGCATGAGAGAGAAGAGAAAATTGCCCCATGCTCTAGGAAGACACCAAGTAACTTACAAAAATACTTAGTCCAACCCACATCAATAGAGTGCCCCAAAAAAAATTAGCACAAACCCTTTCCTGTAGTTTGGCGAAAATCCACTAGAGATAAAAGGCCAGCAACCCGACGTTACACACAAGCCCAGCCCAGCAGCTTGTAGAAAAGCTGTGATCGTGCTCCACCTTTGATAAAACTTCAAACAAGTCAGACAAAGAGCCAAGGCAAGAACCAGCAGAAATTCGTGGGTAAAGGGCAAATACCCATCGGATAAAAGGCTCCACCCATCTCCTTCTCCATTATAAGCTCTGTTTTGAAAACGTTGAGAAAAAGCAAAGTGGCGCCTCACCCTTGTGGGGAGGTCCAGCTGCATCAAAATTGTTGGAACCACAAAGGGTTCCTTACCCATACGCCTTGATAAGATAATTTCACCAAAATAGGACTAAGTAGGGAGCTGCCAAAGGAAAATGAAGAGGAATACCAGACAAAATTAGGGTTCTTGATGCCTATAAAAGAGGGGTTTGGCTACCCAGAAAAAAACCAACCCATTCAGAGGCCTGACCAAGCTTTGTCAAGTATTTGAGAATTCACTCAAGACACCCAATCTCCCCTTTCGTTCATTTTCTTCTCCCTCTTAGGATAGGAATCGTTCTAATCTTGCTCTGTTCACTTCAGGCTCTTGTTCTCTATAAGGAATTCATGCCTCTCTCTCTCTCAAATTGCTAAACTTGTGAAAGCTTAGCTCTCATGCCACAGGCTCCTCAGGCTAAGCCGTTAATCGATTTATCATGCTTATTTGGTGTTAGTGAAGATGAACCTAAGAATGTTTTTCTAAAGTCAGATTTTATAAAAACCCTTTTGGGGAGCTTGGTTTCGAACTCAGGCTTTTTGGGGAATTTTGTTCGTTGTCTTCTTACGGCAGCCCAAGCCCATTCGTCAGGGTGCTGGAACAAAAAGGCCCCTACAATTAGGTACAACTTTGAAGTTTCCACTACCAAAATACATAAAAGGTGTATATAGGCTTTTTATAGTTAGGAAATAAGGATATCTTATTCTGTAGACTTTGAATGTATAATCGAAATCGTTCATTTTTTTATTTTTATTTTCAAGAATAATTCATGCGAATAATAAAAATACATTGTTGAATATTTTCAAAAATAATTCATGCGAATAATAAAAATACATTGTTGAATATCCATGAGAAAGTTGGGTTAGAATATAAGTGCACCCTCTTTCTGCTTGCTGACTTTGGTAAATACTAAATATTATATAGTTGCTCAACCAATATATCATTTTCCCATCTTATTAGATAACTTGTTGGATTACAATAGCTCAACTACCAATTTATTCACATCCACAAATTAACATTCGACATTAACTTCAACCAACCAAATTACACTTTATGCATTTCATGGATTCACATGAAGCAAAAGAAGAAGCAAATCTAAGGTCAAAATTACAAAGATTCATTCTTTAGCTTTGGTGTATAATTCTGGCCTTGCCCTTGAAAATTTGAGTCCTTGACCCGAAAGCTCTATCACCAACCATGCTTCCCTTAACCGCAGCTTTTCTTCCTCAGCTTTCAATTTGAACTCTTGGAGAACAGCACAAGCAATAAGACTGTGCCACACGTGGCCCAATCAATTTGGAAAATTCTTGGAGCTAGCTAGCTCTGGCTATTGGCTAATCTGATATGGAGTGGTCGTGCCAGCAGAGGAGCATCGAAACGCAGCGTCCGAGGATGTAGAACCGGGTCTTTTGGTGCTTCGCCATCATCAAGCACCGCTTTCGAAACCCCATTTTCCGGTGGCTTTTCCGGCGGACTCGGCGTCTGACTTGGTTTTGGGGAAAATTAGAACTTGTCATGGAGAACTGGCGGCGGCGAAAATCGGGAGGCAAGAAAGACGAAACTACGGAGTTATTAGTGTTTGAACGAACACGGAATTATATGGTTGTAGTTTTATTCTTTTATAGGCGATGGAGTTGTTGTGTGGACATATGCGGCGGTCCCCACCTCGTCAGCTTGATGTTATTTCATTGAAATCTAACTTTTGCCCAATTTTACATTATTGTCCCTCTCCTATTTGAGAAGAAAAACTCTCATACAACAGAGATAACATTTTTTATTATCTCGGTCACTCATTGTGTTATTGATCGAGAATAGTAAAACAATATTATTCACGTTATAAGATTTTATTTTATTTTGCTATTAGAGCGATTCCACCGATTAACAAGGCCAGGGCAAGGGGAGCCCAAGAAGAAAAAACGAGTTCCAGCAGCCTTTTTTGGCCTGAGCTGGGTGTGGGCTCCACCAGCCTGGGTTGGCGGCCTTCAGGCAAAATCAGCCTTTGCTCTAGCCTGGGTTTGCTGACGTCAGCGATGACATCAGCAACCAAAAAAAAAAATTCTAATTTTTTTTATTTGAAAAAACTATAATTTTCATAATTTTTTAAAAATAAATACTTAGTCATACTTTTCACTTTCCACATCAAAACTCTATACAAATTCCTCTCATCATATCTCATGTGAATAGTAGTTGCCATGACAATAGATGGAAACACCACAAGCCTTTTGCAAGGGCTGCCACTATTCACATGAACAGTAATAGTTCTGGTCTCCCTTTGCCCTTTATCATGAAAAATAAGTAGAAGTACTCTTAGAGGCTTTGTGATTGCGAGTCAACAATATTGTCCCTTCCTCTTAATTTCGTTTGTATTCATATTCGCCTCATGTCATATATTCGAATTCCTCTCTTAGGTATATTCCCATTTCCCCAAAAATTGCATGTATAGAAAAAACAACACTTAAAAACAAACAAGTAAAAAATATGGCTATGCACACAACAACGATTAAATTGAACTAAAATTAATAGTTCAAGTTGGTAGTCTATTAAAAAATAAAATAAATCTCTATGATACAATAACATGTATTGTATAAGATTATATAATTGCGTTTGTGCGACATTAATTCTGGTGATAATTTAATAATTGAATTGAAGCTTTTGTAACCATATAAAATGTGAAGGGCATTTAAGTAACTCAGCATGCAACAGAACAAGAGTCTGGTCAAAAAGATCTGAAGAAAGCGGAGACGGAGAGAAGCCGTGTGGAAATGCCAGTTGGGCCATGTACAGTCCCTCTACTGTAGCATATTACGACTATCCCTCGCGGCATTTTTGTCCGTATCTAATTTCTTACTGGTGCTATCGTCCTTCTTTTATCCACGTTTTTCTGTTTCTTTTTATGCTTCTAGACGTGAGAGGCCATTACGAAAGCGACATGTAGGTCGGCCAGACCCGGCATTGGGTATACGATATGTCGTATTGTGATATTATATTACAGAGGACGTACCGCCGCCGACTTTATATGATTTGAACAATATCCTACAGCAAGTGGCAGCATTATCCTCTCATGCTTTTATATGCAAATTGTAATTGAAAATGCAATTTAGAAAAACATACTGATAGGAGAACTAACCTGCCAACAAGAAATCAACCATGCAAATGAAGAAATATATATATATATATTTAAAAAAATTGTCATTTGATCTACTAACTATTTGAGAGAGTATGTTGTCGTATATTGTCGAAGAGCGAAAATACATGACGTTTATGTTTTCTGGTAGTAATATTTGTCAAGAAGCTTCTCTGTGTACTCTCCAAAGGTAAGAGCACCATTTGGTGAAATCAACTGAAAGAGAAGACGATAGTTAAAAATGAAAGAAAGAGGAGAATAACTGATGGTTGATGTGCATGCCTATGGTGGTGATGCATTACCTCTTTATGGATATGAATCTCCTCTGGAAAATTAAGCTTCTCATCCCTGCAAAAATGAATTATGCTTAACTACCATCAACCATTGCTTAAGATATAACATATGTGACCAGAGATGCACTTACCAGTCAGGTTGCATAAATAATGCAAATGTTGAACGATCAAGACTGCAAGCGTCCTCCCCCTTGGGTGCCTGTACAAACATCCAGTGAATGCTATTGGACATATGCCAAGGAAAACTTTGGTTTTTTGGGGAAGAGAGGAGGTAAATAAGAACAGGGGAGTTACTTGCACAAACTTGACAAAGACTTATGTCTAGAGAACCCTGTTCAGAGCCAAGCTTAAGACAAAAAGTTTCAAACACATATATCATAGTAGAGAAAGTACCCGGACACAATGAGGTGTCGCACAAAGATAACCTCTTGACAGAAGTTCCGTGGTTTCGCCAATTTGGTATGCTATTGCATCTTCTCCAAAGACAACCTAATACATAAGCAATCATGGAAAATCATTATTGTCAACTGTATCCTCCATGACTAGAATTTTCAAGAATAAGAAGACATACTTTGACAATCTGATCTGTTCGCGTCCTGATATAAAGGCCAGCTCCACTATCAGGGCATGGTATTTCAACAGCATCTCTCGTAAACATGGCACAGGTCAGTCCTACATATTAATTTGAAGCAGAAATTAGGCACATCGAAAGAGTCCCGACTAGATAATTGCAAGGAAATTATATGCACTTTGTACTATTAATCTATATGTTATTGCATGAACAGCATGAACACATCCAAACTTAATGTTCATGTTATACAAAGAATTGATTTGATGGGTAACAACATATTGCGCATGCATAACATGTTGAGCGATAAGCACTGTCACGAATTAATTAATACAATAACATGAGAAAAAATAAACCTGTAAGTGAACCATGGTCTGTATGCCATCCACACCAAGAAGACATGTCTTTATTATCTTCTATAGAATTACTGCACGTCGTAATTCACTTGTTAATATATTACCTCTGGGAGCCAAAAGATTGCATACCTCAGTACTATTTATTATTTTAAACCTTGGTAACAATCTAATCTAATGCCATTCTTAACCTCCTTCCCTGATCATCTTGCCCATATTAAAACTGCTAATGTAATTCCTTTATATTAACTAACATGAGCATCATCTTATGCTGTTCCACTTAAGGGAATCTTGGTTTTAAGACTTCATAAAAGAATGGCACATTTCCTTCTTCTTAAATTTCAACATAGCAAAATGAATGATCCAAATATTACCAAACCTGAGAGACAAAGAATTTTAAAAAAGAACTTAAACTTCACTACAAACCGACGCATTATCAGCTATGGGTGAATTGTGATGAGGACAGAAAAAATAATTACCTCTCTTTTGTGGAAAAGTAATAAAGTAGCCGCCCTTTATGACACCGAGAACGAAAAAGTATTTGTTCAAGGCCTTCATCCTCACTCATTTTGATTGCTTTTGACACTGTTCAAGCACTCATCAAAATTGTAAGAGTCATCCTAACAATTCCCTGAAAATCAATAACAGCAACGAGGTAGCAAGAAGACTATGGCATTTTGTTTGGCCAGGGGTGTAGAAAAGGTCAATATCATTTAGCTGTGAGGTGTCGATCATTCTTTATCCCTTCTACACCAGAGACGATAAATTTAAGGTTCTTTGATGCAATCATGTAAAAGATTCAGAAATCTTGACTTAACCCTTTTCCAATATCATAGATTGTGTCATCTCAATTTCTTAAATCCTTAGGCCTTATGAATACTCATATTATGATGCTTGTTTTCTGGCCGGGGAAAAAAATATTCATGCATGATAAATGTTACAACTCAAGTATAAAATGAGACCTGAAAAACAACATAGTTATGTTCTCTTGGAGTAAAGACCATAACAATATAAGACGTTACCATATCTGTCACAGTGAAATGCCACCATAAGCCCAACTCCAAGGATCAGCTTCCCAAGAGCTTTGAAGGCTACAAATCAAAAGGTCATATTCAGTGATAATAAAGCTAAATAATACATTATATAATTTAAAAAGTGAAAAGGCATAGAATTAAGGACACTGTAGAACTTTCTTTACGAGCTATAATAACTCAGTTTGTTGTTGCATAAAGTAGACACAGTAATGAAATATAAATCACCAGTGGTTACTCGGTCACAACAGAGCTTTCAAAAAATACTTGCATGGCCATGGAACATCTATGAAACATAGAGCCAAGCAATCAGGCAAGCATCAGAAAGTCAACCACCATTAGGAGAAAAATTAAAGAATAACCACTTGTGGCCAAGAAAATCACATAAATTCAAGGGAAACATACCAACTTCAAGTTCTGGCAATTCACTATTAGGCCATATATTTGATCCACAGTATGATGGATACCTGGATACAGATCACAAGCAAAAATCTGAGAATACAAAGCACAATGTTCTGTCTGCGCAAATCTGTAATTTCTCAAATGTGTTCAATACTGCTAAACATGTTACAGCATATAGAAAATTTGGCCTGGGCAATTTTATACAAATACAACCTTATAGGGAATGTATGTTAGTTATTCGTAACCATAAAAAACAAGTCTAGCCAAACTTTTGTGATCTGAGCCATATACTGTGACCTCATACAAAATAAAATGTCATACATAATCAGATTATGATTTTTATTTTCCTAGAGACTGTTACCTTTGAAGTAGATATTCATCTGTTGTAGGCCTATCTAACATTGGATTTGCATAAAAAGAGCCTTTTAACGTATCTGCGAAACCAAAACACAAACTAAAAAGAATTAATAACAATCATGTGACTATGCATGATTGTAATTTTTTTCTTAGAGTTCGCAACAAGAAAAAAAAAGGGGAGGGTGATACCTGGCTTTCCAGATTCCAGCTTCTCTTTTCCATGACTCCATCCAAAATTGTACCTACATATGGAAGGCGGGTAAAAAGAAGATAAGTGATACATCTACCGAGAATGATGAATTATAGTTCTCATCAGATGAATACAACAAGTACAAACAGATTCCCAAGAAAAGCACTAAAGCTAGGTAAATAAATTTACGAGTTGAGTCTTGTAGGGAATATTTTTGGAAACTTGCTATTAAATAAAGAATAGATTGATGTTTGTGTTTATACAGAAAATCTGTCAATGGCTTA